CATAAGCTATTTGTTGGCAATTGCTATGTGCTTTGGACCTAAAATTATGATCACAATGAGCTGACCAAAAAACAAAATAGTTATCACCATCTTATTATAAATTGATAGTTAGGCATTGCAATGATGAATCAGTCAATCATTATATCATATTTTATAAAATTACTTTAAAGATTTGGGAATTAAGTATAGAAAGCAAACAGTAAAGAATTCAAAAGTGACCTATATATATTACCTAATTTTATTCCAAATTATTGTTTTTCAATAAGAACCAATATTCTTGTAAGCCAAGCTAGCTGTCTCATTTCTTGGTATGTGTTGGAACAAAAGAAACAGGACTTGGCCTAATCCTTCAGTTTAGTGGTCAACCCTAGAGTTAATTAAACTAAACCAGTCTAACCAGAATTAAGTTAACCCCTCGGTGTTCGCTTTCACTATAACGTTTTGTTTCTCAAGAGTCAAATTTTATGAACTTTGATCCACTATTTAAGATGTATTTTAATCATATTATTATGAGAAAGGTTGCAACTTAATTATCCTCTCTCTCCGTTCCAATTTATATGACGTAATTTGACTGAGCATGAATTTTAAGAAATATGAGAAAAGTTTGTAATGTTTCAAACTATCCTTACACATTTTTAGACTTTTTACCAAATAATTGGAATGCATAAATGTTGATAGTGTCGTCAAATAATTGTCAAGTAAAGAAATGTGTTATTCTTTTTAAATTGATAATTAAAAAGAAATAATGTGTCATATAAATTGAAAAATACAAACGAAATAGTATTTCTTTTAATAGTTTTGAAATACTATTTTTTTTTATTTTAAAATATTTTCTTTCTTTGATCAATTGACAGTAGCCAAGTGTTTGTATTTTGATGTTGATTTTTATTGGCTATATATGACGGCACTAACTATTTTTTCTTCATTAGGCAAATTTTGGTGGCTGATATGAATGTTTGACTATTTAAGCCAATCTGAACGGTTCAATGTTATTAAAATAAGATTATAGTACTAATCTAATTTTGATTAATTAAGAAAAAGCAATCTTGGACAGATGGCCCTCCTATAGTTAGGTTTCTTTCCTTAATAAGAAAGTTCTACTATTGCTATTTTTATTTTAAGAAAAATAAAGGCCACTTGTCATTTTTCAGTTTTTTTTTAATATATGAAAATAGTTTTTGGTTCACAATAATTAATTAGGCTTTTCTACAAGAAGTAAGAGATAAGATAGGGGTCCTATCCTATAAAAGATTTGTAAATTTTAGGACTTCTTTTGCTATGAATATATTGTTAATTTTAGGGTGTTTTAGATGAATTGATTAGAGCTAAATTTAGGTGAATTAAAAAAAAAAATTGAATCAATAAATAAGTAGAGATATCGTCTATTTAAGATTTTGTTTAGATCAAAATGAACGGATTTGAACTGAACAATGTGCAGTATAGCTAATTAATCCACCCAACTACAAAAATCACTCTATATTAATAAACGTAGTTTGTTTAATTACTAAATCAAACATAACAAGGACTTTTTCTTATTAATAATTTATGATGACTATATCCAATCAACCCCAAATTAAATTTTTTTTTTTTTATATATACTTGAGTTTTGTTATGCGTTACATAGATTGTTCAAATTAACTCTTGACTTTTAAACGAGTTAATTTGGGTGATGCTCAAATTGATCCACCAATGAATATAAGTAACAATATCTCTACCCAAATTCATTCATACTTGAATGAATCATAATTTTATGGACTAAATTTAATATTTATATCATAAATTCGAAGTTACTACATGACATTTAAAAAATTTATTTTCCTCTTGAACCTCAGTTAAATAGCAGTTAAACATTGTAAGGTAAAATTTTGTGACATTTTCAAATATTTCGAAAAGTTAGAACATAGTCCTAGTACTATAAACTTTTGCACTTATTAAATGTTTTTTTTTTAATTCTCTCCTTTGGATTTGCTCTTCTTACATGGTTCTTCAATTATATGATAAATTTCCTTTAAAAGTGTAAATTATTAGTATATGGTTGTCATTATTGTTTACTATAGTAAATGCACCTCTATTTTCACATTGACATAGTCACACTATAACCTTCTTTGTCTAGGTGCAAAAAAAAAAAACCCACCATTTTTATATTAGGACAACAAAAATGAATAAATTATGAAGTGTTCACACACTATCATTTTCAATTACCAAACAAAATAAAGTGTCTTAATTAGTTTGATATAACAAAAACGTTTCATACATTGTCTAAATTAAAATTAAATTAAAATAAATTCAATATTGAAGCCTTTTCTTTCCTCTAAAGCAAACACTTCATTTTATATTGAAATAAAAAATGAAGATTTCAATTTAACTAGTGATTGAATGTACTCATATTAACTAAAGATTAGTAATAACAAATGTCGTTTTGTTGTATGCTTTTAACTCTAAATTTTCCTATTTGGGTTCAGAGTACAAGTTTTAAATTCTTCCCCTTCTCATCAATGATGGACCAACCAAACCCTAGCTAGAAGAATAAAAAGGTATAATTACAAATTATCATCTCTAAAAAAAAGTAACAAAAACTAATTTCTATAACGAATTAAAGTTTACTAATTATTTTTTATATTATCAATATACATATATTCATCGCAACTACTAAGCATCGTAAAAGTATTGTGCGAAGAATAGAGCACATTCAAGAAGGCTATAATTGAACAAAAAAAAAAGACATGATGGCCTGCAATAATAAGCTTTTTGTAAGTACATAAAACGGTTGTAAATCAAATGATTTTTGGTGGTCCTAGTGGGGATAGCTATAATATTCCGTTCTTAGAGCCTGTTTGGCTCAGCTTAAAAGCTGGTCAAACTGACTTAAAAGCTGGTTTTTGACTTATTTAGCTGTTTGGCAATACTCAAAATAGCTTATTTTAAGTTAAAAAAACTTATTTTAAGCCAAAAGTTAAAAGTTGGGGTAAGGGTGCTTTTTTA